TTGCTGGTGCCACTTTTTATACTGACACTGGTGTGTCCCTCTAGATCTGCTTGACATTTGGTGAGGATGGTGTCTTAAACCCCTTATAATCAAATTAATCAATTTCAGATGATTTAGAATCCACTTAAATGTAAGTAAGAGGCTTTTTCAAATGCCCATTAGTTTAAATAATTTGAAGATAATAGAGGAAACATAAAATGGACTTTTGAAGCATTGGGAAAGTTTGGAAGGAAGTATCACATTCTCTAGTCAGGGATTCTTTCTCATTTTAGTCATAAGTGGATCCCATTCTTGTGGTCTACCATAATGGCATGCCCTTCTAAATGTTGTATCAGAATATATTTCACATGCTGTGAGAGGCTCCATGCTTAAGGGACCAAGACATAGAGTGACAGATAAAATCACCCGGTAATGAGAGACCATGGAAAATGGTTTTTTTTTTTTTTTTGGAGCGAGGGGTGGGATGGGGTGGGCACAAGGAGTCTACTTTTTCCTGTTGTGCTTTCTCCAACAATGCCAACACAGCAAATCCAACGTCTCCACAGTCATCCCAGTGTTTTCTATTTTATCTGCTCAGAGACATTCTTTTAAATAACTCTTTTGCAGGGGCCACAGACTTTCTCTGTAAAAGACAAGAAAGTAAAATAAAGTAAGATAATGTAGCCTTTGTGGTCCTACGGTCTCTGTGGCAACCACTCACTCTGCTATTGTAACAGAAAACAGCCATGGGCCGTACACTAATGATCGGACATGGCCACGTTCAATAAAGCTGTTTGTGCTTTGTGACAGTTTTCACGTCAGCAAAAACTTCTGTGAGTTTTTTTCAACTATTAAAAAGGTGAAAAACAGTTTTAGCTCCTAGGCGTTAAAATATCAGCAGGCTGAACTTGGCCCCTGAGCTGTCGTATTGTGAGTCTTATAAGTAAATACATGTTTGAAAAACAGGAGGTGTGGGTGCCAGACCATCGGGAAGAGAAATGTCATACAGAAGAGGTGCCCCAGTGGACACAGTTCAGTTGATACATGGACACTTGGCAGGTTCCATGTGTAATTTCACTGAACTCGCAAAAACTTTTCCTTTTACCTAGAAGCTTAGCAGCATTCCATTTGTGTAGTTAAGAAATTAGAACAGACTCCTATTAAAATTTAAGTCCATATTCTCAGTCACCAATTTTATTATCACTACAGTCTCTATTGTTTATTCTCATTGCTGTAATTTCAGTTTCCATAGAAATATTCTTTTCACTACAAGAGCTTCGGTCCTCTGCATTTTGAGGCACTGTTCATGTGTCCCTAGATTTCTTCTAAGTATAATCTTAAATGAATCGTTCGTTCTCTCTCAGCCATTGCATTGCGGAGTAGTTAAGGTAAGGGATGCTTATCTGGCAGAATCTCCCAGGATACCCTTGATCTAGCATGAAGGGGATTTGCTTTCAATTTTCATAAAACCCAGTGAGAGTTGCGTCACCTTCCTTCATGTTGCAAATATATTGTCTGGACACTAGGGTAGAGAAAGCTTACTTCTATCAATTGGCAGTTGCTCACATAGTCCATAAGACTCAAACCACATAGGTGAAGAGGTGCGTTTTTAACGTGGCTATGGTTGTATTGCACACTAAAGCAGTGCGTGTCTGAAATGTTTATTTGAATGTGGGTTGCCAAGTGTTTTCTCCAAAGGGTCAGGAAGCAAATATTTAAGTATTATTGGTAGTATAATTATTCAGTGCCCCCAATGTGACATGACATCGGTCATGAACAATAAGTAAATGAATGGAATGGTGTCTCAGAAACAGGAAGACAGCCCAATTTGGACCATAGGTCATGATGCCATTGTGAGCTGACTCCAATCTCAAAGCATTACTAACAAATAATCTTCATGTTCATTGCTTCCCCTGCTCAGGAAGCTTTGGGCAATCACTACCTCTTCCTTGTGTCTTATGTCATCTAATAATATGGTCCATAGTCAGTTCAGAGAATGTAGGTGAGACTGAGGTCAGATGGTCTCTGCTCAGTGGTTTCCCTTCAGAGTTTCTTTCACTCTGTCTTCTAGTCTCAATATTCTTCCTCTGGGGCTACGTTTTCAGAGTGAGATCATAGTTCTTGGCTCAAATAAACAACAAGAGGTATCATATAGATTTGTATGAGTATGAATATGTCTTGAGTAGTCTGCCTTGGTTAACTCAGGCGTACAAGTATGCATCGCATGTACTTCTAGTGTAGATGGTTAAATATTTGTCTTTCCCACAGAATGACTTGTCTGCAGACATTCACCCAACTGAGAAATCTGTCACTGGAGGCTTTCAATCCAAAATCAACTGTCACAACCTATCATATGCCAAATCCTAAAAAGTTAACTCCATTACAGTTTTCTGAAAACACACTGTCCCCAATCCCATCACCACCATTTTTATACTATATGAGCCTTTGATGTCCTGGTTGGAATTGCCCAGCTCCAATCATTGTTTAAGTACTAAAACAAGTTTACTAAAATAATATAATCCCAAATCACTCTTCTTTGTCAGTGTAGTTCCTTAAAATATTTTCATAAAAACCAAAATCCTTTGTGTGGCAATGTGAGTCCTTTATGTCTGGACATCTAGAGTTTCCACTATTTCATTTCTTGAATACAACATGACTTTCATATACTTTGTATCACAGTCAGCGTGAACCTTGCCGAGCTTTGACCTTGCTTTCTCTCCATCTTTGTGTGTGTGCATGTCCATGTGCATGTGTTGTGTGCCTATGTGTCTTCGAACTCTGCTTCCTCAAGTTTCCACTCAGCTGAGTCAGCTGGCCAGATGCTTTTTTCGGACCCTCCCTATGATAGAAATCCACCAGTGGATTCCCTGACTTTTGTGTTCCCTTCCTGAAGCTCCTTTATATACTGTACTGCCTCTTAGCCCATGCATCATTTCTCCTCCCACCGAAGAGCTATAATGTCACTTTTTTATTGCTATTACAATACTTGCCCTGGTGTCTGCAATTAAGTGTACACTCAGCAATATTTGTAGGATGAATTAATGCAGCAAAATTAGCCTATTTATCTTCATAATTACATAACAACTTGTGTTTTAATGCAATTAGAATTGTGGGCAGCCGAGGTTTAGAAACATACATTTAAGAAACATTTAGATGGAGATCATATACATCAGCAGTCTTGACCTTTAGAAGGCTCATGGGAAGGAACATTAGTGAGAAAGCAGTCCATTGCCTGTATATAAAGAGAAAAAAAACCCACAATACAAAACACAATACACAGTCTTGACTGATGGACATATCTGTTTCTATTAGTGCCTCTGTAATAGCTTGTGCCTCCTTAATGGCTGCCACAGAGCACAGTGGAAAGGACATTGAATGTGAAACAGAGATTCAGTAGCCCCAAGGGCAGACATTTCATGAGAAACCAAGCCTGACATTAAATCCTCATCTTTCATACTTCAAAAGCAACTGAATCTTGTGTGGGTACTAATCTGAATTCTGTTCCTGAGTTGTGTCATAATAATAAATGACTTGCATGCTCCCATACAACAATATTGCGCCTCTCAAGCTTTTTTAAAAATAACAAAATTATGAAAGACTAAAGTGTATTGTGATCACTTCATGCCCTCTATATATGTTTAGACATCTACTTTAAAAATAACATGTGGTGATGTAGAAGGGACACAGTATTTGAGTTTCTATAAGATAGTGATCCAAACATTTTGGAGAAATGAAAGCATGACTAAACCAAAGGTTATTGTACTATGAAGAAAGTGAATGGATGATAAACTTTATTGCATAAAAGTTGCATTTACTCTCCTATTATTTATTACAGGAAAGTATATTTCACTTATATAAATATGAATAGTAAAAAGTAAAACTTGTATTGGGTTTTGGAAAATGTACATAGATCTGAGGGCCAAAGGAGTATACTTTTTTTTAAGTACAATGCACTAAGCTCTAGTGGGCAGGAAGAATGGGAAAATGATTAATACTGTTGTAGAAAAAAAAACCCAGAAGGCTCCTATAGGGAGTAATCCGTGACCGATGGAGAGCATAGATTATATCTGCAATTGCTCCATGATTTTAACTTTTATGTTTAAATTGACTTTTCTTGCTATTTGGGGATTAATTAAAATCCTTAAGAAAGAAAATCAAAGTTCACTACAAATACCAAGTAGATTCTTAGATCCTAGAAAATGTCCCATATAACTTTACTTAATTCTCATGATTTAATTCCAGCATATGGTACTTGGGGATAATATCTAATGTCACCAATTCCTTGGACTATATAAAGAATCAAAAAATGGAACTGCCTTAATTATACTTCAACATTGAAGGGAACTTTTGATATTAGACTCTGTATCCTCAGGGTCTAGTGAATGACAGATATTTAATGACTGTTAGTGGAAGGAGAGGTGACTTAGAGTTGTAACTTTCAAAATTGATTATTAAAAACAATGCTCTGTATTTGATTTTTGTGATCTTCTGTGGAAATCAAATGGCCTGAAGTAGTATATCAACTGTGCCATAGCAGTTTTATATACAACTTTTCACTGTCATCAACTGATTGGTGTTTCTTTGTACTGTTGTGTGCTGGCTAGTTTTATGTCAACTAGACACAAACTAGGGTCCTCAGAGAGGAGGGAGACTCGATTGAGAAAACTCCCCCATAAGATTGGGTTGTAGACAAGTCTGTAGGGCGTTTTCTTAGTTAGTAATTGATGAGAGAGGGCCCAGCCCATGGTGGGTGGGCCCATCCCTGGGCTGGTGCACCTGGGTCCTATAAGAAAGCAGACTGAGCAAGCCAGTAAGCAGCACCCCTCTATGTCCTCTGCATCAGCTCCTGCCTCCAGGTTCCTGCCCTGCTTGAGTTCCTGCCCTCACTGCATTTGTTGGTAAGCCATTACATGGATGTGTGAATGAAATACACTTTTTCTTCCTCGAGTTACTCAGACAGTGAGGGAGGCTTAAAGGCAAGTATGATTGTATTAATATTCTTGTCATCTTGCTTATTTTAGCCCAAACAACGAACATCTATTGTGTCTTCCCTGGATTTCCAACGAATGAATCATAACCAAGAATACTTTGAAATCAGCACATCTACGGGGTGCACCAGCTTTACGTCTAGCCCTCCAGTTAGCCCACCCACCTCTTCTGTGGGAACCACAGAAGTCAAGAACGAGGGAGCTGAACACACAGGTAAAACAGTTCCTTTTATACAGGTATGCTTTTGAGCTTCAACAGAGTCTTTATGAGCTCTGGTGACAAAGAGCAATCTTCTTACAAACTTTATTTCTGGTTCACATCATATGAGCAGCAGTATAGGGTATTGATATTTTTATCATGGCATGGGCATAATATTGTTTTTAATGCATTAGAGGTCTTTTCAAGTGTTTACATTAGTATAACAATTTAATAATATTATGGTTGTAAAACAACCGAGGGCCTAGAAATGCTTTTTTTCTTCTATTTCCATTCATGGCTCTCCCACAGTTTCATCAGCTAATCAACACATGGACCTGTTGATAGCTGTTTTGAGACTGGAGAACCCGTATCAAGGATATCTGGTAAGACTGAGTTGGACACTGTTGCTGAAATAGATGTCACCTGTTTAGACCCAAGTGAACTTGGAAAGGAGGGGTAGAAGGAGAAGTAGTACCACCCACCAGGGAAAGCATTCTGGTTCTATCCAATCAGATTCGTGGTATTTATATCCTTTGGAGAAGAATGAGCTTAGCTAACTGGTAAGGCTGAGGAACATCCAGGACTAGGACCCGAACAGTGTCTTCCTCTTCTGTCTATGTCACAGCAAACATACTATTCATTTGCTTTCGTCCAAAGAGTTTAAACTTGGGAGGTATTATTAACATTCATTTTAGAATCCTATAGTATAGCTGTCAGTATAGGTGTTCCATTAGTTTGAACATATATCTGTTCAAACTATCTGCACATAGATATATGCATATATATGTACATGTTTAAGTCTTTTAACTGACACTCCTATTAAAAGCACCAGCATAAACATTCTAAAAAATATACAGCCAAAGAATTATTTTCTCTGTGATAAGATTTTATATATATATATAAGATGTGATAATTATTTTCAAGTGATAAGACTCTGGAGACATCATAATCCAACCTTTCATGGCAGCCAGAGAGATATTTATAAAATGGAAATCAAAGCACACCATTGCTGTGTTTAAAATGTGCCAGAGGATTCTGGTCCTTGCCATGGCCAATGGAGCCAGCTGTCATCTGGTTCCCAACTCTCTCTTGAATTTGACCTTCAACATGCTCACCCAGGCCTTCTTTGCTGGGCATCGGGCTCAGGGACTTTGGCATTCTGGTTCCTTCCACCTGCAGACTCTGTCTTCTAATGTTGATGATTTGGAGTATATTTAGGTTTTGACTTGGACACACTTCTTCATGTAAGCTTCAGATTGTACTATCTTGAGTAGAAGTTCTCACTGTGATGGGAATCATGGTAAGAAAGAAGCAAAAAACGAAAACAGTTCCAATAATAATAAAAAGCAAATACTTGGTGCTCTGTCAGACAGTGTTTTGGGTATTTTCCTTATGTCAACTCCTCATGACCTTTTGGTGGGCATACGGGTTGAGTAGTAGTATCTACAGTGAAGGAAATTCAGACACAAAGAACAACCACCCATCCAAACCTGGCATTCAAACGTGGTGCCAGCGTCCCTGTTCCCAACCACTTTTCTCCATTGCTACATTCACTTTGGTGATATTTGGGGAGCCCAGGCTAGCCTCACACTCGTGGTCCTACCTTAGCTCCCTATGTGCTGGGATTATGGGTGTGTAGCACCACACCTGACTTACTCTAGTCACTTCTATCAGATCTTCTCTTTCCTTTCTTCTATGATCTTATCTGTATGTAAGATGATGCTGATGACCTTTTGCCTTAGCTACTGTCTTCTCCCTTCTTTCTAGAATGCACAGTGCAGGAGATGGGTCTGGTCCATGGTAAGCCCTGAAGTCAGGCTGCCGAAATTGATTGCTAATTATGAGACAAGCTCAGCTTTCGGTGCTACAGCTTTTCTTCTCTATAAAGAACAGGGAACTAATTAGATTTCCTTAGCCAATACTGTAACATGCTTATAAAGCAGCGATTAACATAATACCCTATCAAGTGCTGAGTTAGTGCTCAATAAATAGTAGTAACTGTTCATCATAGTAGCAGGAAGTATGATAGTCTCATACCTCTCTCTTTTCTACTCAGACCTCACATTCATTTAACTGACTATATACTGTTTTCTGTATAACAGAACAATTTATAGGATGAGAAAGTGGGATATGCCTTCTACAGAGAAATGGCATGTGAACTCTGAAAAGGACTCTGGGTGTATATAATTATTATTTAACCAGAACTTACTTGATACTCAGTTCCAGATTTTAAGGCCCCCAGTGGGAGGTGTGGCAAATATTGCTGTACTTGCCTTACGGAAAATCTTTACCAGCTTTATTTTATTTCAAGGACAATTTTTTTTTAAGGATTCAAATTTTTCAATTATCTTTTGAGGTTGGTCAAGATTTTGCTTGTTTGTTTGTTTGTTTTTTTTCATTAAAAACCAGAGTTGTGGGTATAGAATCTAAGCCTTGATCCCCAAGGAGAGAGGGTGAGAACTCCCATTCACTACATCACCCAAAATGTGCAGAGCAATTGTAGCCTTAGGATGCTTTCTGGTTTGACCTTCAGCTGAGCTGAAACATAACCTTTAGTTGTTGAAAGGGTTCCAGTAGCATTGCTGTGACTGTATAATGCAATACTCACCTCCATGGTTCACTGCAGTACTCACCTCCATGGTTCAATACAGTACTAACCTCCACGGCTCACCACAGTACTCACTCACCTCCACGGCTCGCCACAGTACTCACCTCCACGGCTCGCCACAGTACTCACCTCCATGGTTCACTACAGTACTCACCTCCACGGCTCGCCACAGTACTACTCACCTCCACGGCTCGCCACAGTACTCACCTCCATGGTTCACTACAGTACTCACCTCCACGGCTCGCCACAGTACTCACCTCCATGGTTCGCTACAGTACTCACCTCCACGGCTCGCCACAGTACTCACCTCCATGGTTCGCTACAGTACTCACCTCCACGGCTTGCCACAGTACTCACCTCCACGGTTCGCTACAGTACTCACCTCCACGGCTCGCCACAGTACTCACCTCCATGGTTCGCTACAGTACTCACCTCCACGGCTCGCCACAGTACTCACCTCCACGGCTCGCCACAGTACTCACCTCCACGGTTCAATACAGTACTCACCTCCACGGCTCGCCACAGTACTCACCTCCACGGCTCGCCACAGTACTCACCTCCATGGTTCACTACAGTACTCACCTCCATGGTTCACTACAGTACTCACCTCCATGGCTCGCCACAGTACTCACCTCCACGGCTCACCACAGTACTCACCTCCACGGCTCGCCACAGTACTCACCTCCATGGTTCACTACAGTACTCACCTCCATGGTTCACCGCAGTACTCACCTCCATGGTTCACTACAGTACTCACCTCCACGGCTCACCACAAACTTTGTAGTGAACTAGTACTTCATAATAATGTGGAAAGACAATGTCGATTTGCTTTAAAATTAAAAAGTGAAACTTGAAAAAATTTAAGATAGATTTTTTTTTTTTTGGTCTGGTTGAGAAAGTAGTTTATTACCTTCTAGATACACTTTGGACTTAAGAACCTTCCCCTGCAGACATTCTCAAGTGTCATGTATAGTGTGTTCCATCCTGGATTTGCTCAGTATTTTCTATCAAAGCTCTTTTCCATCTTCAGTTTGCTCTTTTGAAAAGGGAAAATAAGATTGTTTCCTGGAGTATCTGTGTTGATATGTGGGTTAATACATTTTGGAAACTATGGAAACTAATAGTCTTTAATATTTTCAGTTTTTATCTTTCCTTTTAATATTATTACTTGAAATCTACAATTTTTTTAAATGCAGAGGAGTCTTTTGTAGCTTTCTCTTGACTTTGAAATATAATTTAATTAACTGTACATGTACAGTTCATTTTATAAATGATTGTACAAAACATTAATCTTGACAAAAATGACATTTAATAGAACAAGAGCTAATGTTGCTTTATCTTGGGCACAGTGGCTGTGCCTTAATCTACTGTTATTTCACTAACGATTGCACCTCTGCAGTTACTGGCCTGCTTCTCTGGAAGCAACCTGGCTGCTCAGGCTGCAGCCTGGCAGGAATTCTCTTCCCGCAGGCACTGGCCCTGCTGCCGCCATGAAAGGTAGCTTTGACTAAATCTCTATCATTCTGTTTATATATAAGACTCGAGATTTAAAGGTTGGGGTAGTTCAGAGAGGCTGAGTAGCAACTAGTTAACCCTCTCTCCTTACCAGCATCTCCCCAAAGGGACCGTCTTTCCCCTCAGCAAAAACAGAAAAAGCCATGCAACTCAAAACCCCGCCCCATTACTTCTGGGGCATCTCTCTACCTCTTCCAGATGCTTTTGGATGCTCTATGATTACTTTCTGTCAACTAGTTGCTAACTCAGCCTCCTGACCCAAGGTTAATTTTATTTAATTAAAGCAAATGCTAATTTGGGGTTCACACCGTAATTGAATATCCCCCAACAAGCTAATATACCTCTAAAGGCTGACTCCAAAACTCTAGGTGAACCAACGGATTGATTTTGAGAGACAACCATTTCAAAGCATCCTGGACTGTGATTAAAGCTTCAATTTAGAAATCATCAAACAAGGCTGAAAAAGAGAAAAGCTTTGGTGGAACATGTGGGAATCTTAGGGACAAAATTGCATTTAACTAGAAAGACTGGTGTTAATGTGCAGAAAGTGGACTTGAGGTGAGCATGGCTGAGGGGAGAAGTTGGCATCAGTGAAGTGCAGCTACCAATGAATGAATGATACATGCAGAAATGGAAAGAACAAACCTGGGCGGGGGGTAATTGACTGATGTGCAAAGGTGAAGGATGAGTTCAAAAAAGGAGTCACATTTTCTAGCTTTAGCAGATGAGCCAAATGCAGATGCATTTCTTGAAGTGGGGATGCCTGTGGGTAAGAAGGTAGACTTAGGTCATTTAAAGCTCAATAGGCCATTTCCTTTAGAGACTTCCTTACTGGGAGTGAAGAGTCACCTGATCTACTATCTGTCCTATGAGGATTCCTCTGTACTGAGAA